GTCAGAAGAGGGCATTCCCAATGGGGGTGGGAGCTAGGCAGAGGCCAGCCTGGGGGTGCACCGGCTTCCTGGTGGACATTCCTGGCTCCTCCCCAGGCTGGTCCTCCCATACGTTCGGCACCTGAAGGGGGAGGATGACAAGCCGCTGCCCCCCTCCAAGCCCAGGAAACAATACAAGATGGCCAAGGAGCCCCGTGGGGACGATGGGGCCACGGAGAAGCTGAAGAAGGCCAAGGAGGAGAGGCGTGTGGAGCCGGTGAGCCCTGAGCATCCCCGGTGCCCTGCTCTCCCGGCATCCCCACCTGCCTCACTATGCTCACAGCTCCCTGTGGAGAGCACCCAGAGCCCGCCCTGAGCGCAGCTCCTGTAGGGACTCCGGGGCGGCTGCAGACGGCCCAGGTGGGGTCAGAGCTACAGCCCGTAGCCCGCTCACCAGCCCTGTGTCCTGGCACCAGGCGCTGTCAGCTCAGACGGCGGCACCGGGGGAAGCTTGCACACACTGCAAGGAGCGGCAGGGGCCTCCGCACCCAGACCTGCTGCACCTGTGCCGTGGCACACCAGCCCTCAGGCATGGCTTCTCTTATTCTAGATAATGCCAGGGAAGACCAGAGCAGATGCCACCGACCAGGCACAGCTCCCCAGCCGGGAGCCCCCCAGGGGCAGCATGGAGCAGCTCAGCCCGTCTCCTGGGCCCTCTCTGCCCTTCGTGGGTGCCAGCGGCTGCCCTGAGGCCTACAAGCGGCTCCTGTCCAGCTTCTACTGCAAAGCCACACACGGCATCATGTCACCCCTGGCCAAGAAGAAGCTCCTGGCCCAGGTGAGCAAGGCAGAGGCCTTGCAGTGCCAGGAGGAGGGCTGTCGTCATGGAGTGGGCAGCCCCGATGGGGATCCCGCGGCAGCCCCAGCTGTTCACCCCCCAGAAGGCCCCCGGAGCCCTGAAGGGCTGGCTGAGAACTCCAGGCACCGGCTGACCCCACAGGAGGGAGTTCAGACCCCGGGGGGTGGCCTCAGGGAGGAGGCCCAGGCAGGCCCCTGCCCCACAGGCCCCATTTTCACGGGCTGTTTCCACACCTACCCTGCTGAGGTGCTGAAGCCAATCAGCCAGCACCCTCGGGACTTCTTCTCCAGCCTTAAAGATGGGGTGTTCCTGGGGCCTCCTGGCAAAGAGGGGCTGTCAGTGAAAGAGCCCCCACTGCTGTGGGGCGGAGACGCCGGCCACCCTTCTGCATTCCACAAAGGCAGCTCCAGAAAGGGCAGCCTCTACCCCAAGCCCAAAGCCTGCTGGGTGTCCCCCATGGCCAAGGCCCCCTCTGCTGACAGCCCCGGGCCACTGCCCGCCTTCCCCAGCAGCCCCAGTCTCGGCCACAAGCGCAGCCTGGAGGAGGAGGCCTTTGTTCACAGTGGCAAAAAACTGCGGGCCGTGTCTCCCTTCCTCAAGGAGGTGGACACCAAGGAGAGTGGGGCCAAAGCTGCAGGCCCCGGCTTGGCCGTCTCCTGCCTGCTGGGCCCAGCCCTGGGACCTGCCCCCCCGGAGGCCTATAGGGGCACCATGCTGCGCTGCCCTCTGAACTTCGCCAGCACCTCGGACCCCTTAAAGGGCCAGGCCATGCTACCTTTCAGCCCCCTGGTCATCCCAGCCTTCCCAGCCCACTTCCTGGCCACCACAGGCCCCTCGCCTGTGGCCGCTGGCCTGATGCACTTGCCCCCTGCGACCTTCGACAGTGCCCTCCGTCACAGACTCGGCCCGGCTTCGTCTGCCTGGCACGCACCACCGGTCACAACGTATGCAGCGCCCCACTTCTTCCACCTCAACACCAAGCTGTAGGTCGGCCTGCTTGCTGTGCTGTGGAGGTTCTGGCCTGGCCCGAGATGGGGAGGTGCTGCCCGGAGGCCCTGGGCTGGAGCCAGCACCCGGGACAGCAGCCACACCCGGGCCGGGCAGCCTGGCATAGTCAGAGGGAAGCAGTGGGAACTGGGTCTGTCTCGGGCAGCCTAGACCGAGACTGGGGACCCAGTGCAAGCCCTCGGGAGAGGACAATGCAGGGTTGGTCCAGCTGGAGACTCTGGAGCAGAGGCCAGGAGTCGATGAGGGACTGAGGAGGCGATGGCAGCTTGGGAATCCGGGATCCCCACAGGAAATCCAATAAAAGACACCAGTGAGTCCACAAAGGCCTGAGGTGTGCAGGCGAGGCTCGGGTAAGCTCTGGGCACCCGCAGGGACGTGGACGTGGACACCACCCGCCCCGCTGAAGAGCGGCCTCACCTCCTGTTGGCATCTGCAGGCCATGACCTCCACCCTACGTCTCCGCCTGCTTTTCCAGTGAGCCCAGGGCCCTGCCCGCGGCCCTCCCTGAGCACATGGGAGCCAAGCTGCGGGAGCCGGGCGCCTGGATGAGCCCTCAGTGGCTACCGGTTCCTGTGGGGGAAGGTGTGGGACAGCACAGGGCGTCTGCCTGGTAGACGCACACCCCAGGGTCTGCTGCTGAATCCTCTCAGTGCCCCCACATGCCCGCCCCATGCCAGCGGGCACCAGGGAGTGGGTGGCCAGGGCGTGACGGCCATCCTGTCCTCCAAGAGCTGCCTGCAGAAGCGGCGTCAGGCACGGGTGCTCTCCAAGTGAGGCCAGCAACGGGTGGTCAGGAGCTGTGGTCACGGCTGCCGTGCGAGCTCTTGGGCTCTGCAGGGCCAGCGCCCACTCCCCCAACTGCCCCCAGAAGGCCCAGCTCCAGCTTCTGCATGCCTGGCCCCGGCCCCACACGCCCACGTGTGCCCATCTCTGAGCTTCCGGGGCTCTGTGGTGACGAGCCAGAGGGAACTGAGTTCTGCCCACCCTCTAGGCACAGGCCCTGGGTGCTGGGCTGTAGGTCGGATCCCCAGGAAGGCAGAGGTGAGGTCTGCCTGCTGTGTGTGATGGGCCCTGCCAAGATGGGGCAAGGTCGCTGTGGGGAAGTGTCCCTTCACTTTCAAAGCAACCTTGGCCTCACCCCGCATGGCAGACGGCAGGCCTTGGGCACAGGAAGCTCAGCGCTGTAGTGGTGGCGCCCTCTGGAGCCCGGTCTGGAGAATACACCTTTTGGCCCCACGTCTGCATCTGGGTGGGGGGCACCCTGCGGAGAGGCTGGGGGCTGTTTAGGTGCAGAACATGTGGTTGAATGCACTCATGCGTCCTGAGAAGTCTGGGGCTCTGGGCCCTGCAGGCCGGTGTACAGCTCAGCTCTACCAGATCCCACTCACTCCTCACCGTCCACAGGGGCGGGTACTGGCCCCATTACTGAGGAGGAAACAGTCTGGGAGATGCTAGCAGGGCAGGAGTGCCGGCTCCGGAGCAGGGAGTGTGCATCCCGCGCTCTGGCCTGCTCCCCGCTGGGTGGCTGTGCACAGGGAGTGTGCATCCCGTGCTCCTGGCCTGCTCCCCGCTGGGTGGCTGTGCGCAGGCCCCTTCTCTTCTCCCCCTTCCTTTGGTTCCTAGCCAGGGCCTGGGGCTCCGAGGCACAGCCCACAGCCAGCAGGGCTGTCGGCACCTACGTTCGGCAGACTGTTTCAGGCCATCGTCAGGGGCCCCCTTCAAGCCATCCATGCAGTTGAGCTATGGGTGGCAGGGAGTGGAGGCCATTCTGAGAGACTTTGCTCCCCGTGGCCCTGGCCCCTCCACCTGGAGGCAGCTGAGCACACAATCATGCCCTCGGCGGCGGTGGGGCGGGAGGAATAAACGTGGAGAAGGCCCCAGCGGCAAGGGTGAGTGCTGTGGAGAACGAGGCTGGGGCGGACACGGGGTGCAGTCGTATTGTGCGGTGTAAGAGTTTGCCATTTTAACCAGCATCAGAGGTCCTGTGCAAGACTGAGGCAGGCACACCCGGCAGGGCCTCGTGCTGCAACACCCCTGCTCCACCTAGCCAGCCAGGAACACAGGCAGGTCCGTGGGCACGCCGGGGTGTGCAGGTCGACCCAGGGTCTTAGCCAGGCCTCCCTCTGGGCTCCGGTATGGTGCGGGCCTGTGCTGCCATCCGGAATGTACGGCTCAGCACACTAAGTGCACACTCAGCGCCGGGCAGCCGCCCCTACGCCCCGTTTCCTGACGCGCAGCTCCACACAGAGAGGGCCTCACTAGTGAGCAGCTCGGAGCAATGGCCGGGCCGTGACGGAGCCATGCAGCTGCCAGAGGGCACAGGGAGGGCACAGGGAGGACAGTCTCGGTGGGAGTGGCACCTGCTCCGGAATGCGGATCAGTGAGGGAGGGGCAGAGGCGGCTGAGGGTTCCCTGTGCACAGGGAACCTTCTAGGCCACTGGGCATGAGAGGGCAGTGTCCTGGCCTCGGCGTTTGTAGTCTAGGCTTTTTTGGGAGAGGTTTTTGCTATAGGGCGCGTGTGCTCACCAGATAGACAGAGACAGAGAGACAGAAAGCGAGAAATCACCCCCCAGGGGGGATGGCCACGCCACAATCCCTTCTCGTCCATTCTCCTCTTGGGATCTTGGGCACGCATGCACACGCGCCTGGCATGAGTTTAAGCCACCGGGTCCGGGACTTGAACCACGGTCGACTACGTGAGAGTCCAGCGACATAGCCATTATGCTAACTGCTGGTCCCAGGATTGGTGGGTTTTAATTGCCAGAGGATCCGTGCGCTTCACAGATGAAGGGAGACGGTGTCGCGGTCCCACGGCAATCCCTCCTCTGTTTCGTATTCAGTGAGGACTTGGGGCACGTCGTAGTCTCTGAAGTGCTTTTCCAGCTGCGTGGGGCCAGAGTCTGAACTGTGGTCAACCACGTGGGGTCAGCTCCCTTAGCCACCATGCAATGAGGTGGGCCCTGGCCCGGGCTCACTAAACAGGAGGCCTGTGGCCTCTGCCTAGGACTGTTTTTGTTTGTTTGTTTGTTTGTTTTTTGGCAGGGTGGGGAGAGATGAGGGAAGGTGGTGCTTCTGGACTCAGGTCTGGCTGGGTGGAGGCTGTGCACGTCTCTGATGGGGCTGTCTGTTCTTTCAGTGAGCAGAGTGAGGATGCTGGAGTACAAGGCCAGGAGAAAATGCGGAGGAGGGACTTTGGAGTGGAGCAGGGACACACAGGTGGACCCTGAGCGATCTGGAGACTAGGAGTAGCTGCTGCCCCTTGGACAGGACAACCCCTTTGTCCACCACAGTCCCCCAGCCAAGGGACCAGCCCTGCACTCTGCCCCAGGCTCCATCACTCAGGCCCGAGACTTGCCGCTGTTTGGACACTAGGTGGCAGCTTCGCTCGTCTGTCGGCCGAGGGCCGCTTCCTAGGCAGAGCGACACAGCGCAGAGCCGGGTCAATGCAGTCACCCGGCACAGTCCCCTGGTCTGGCAGGGCCAGCAGAGGGCACAGGACACGGCAGACAGGCTCCCACTCTGCCCCTCCCTGGGCCATGTCCGCGTTTATGAAAGGAGCACAGTCACTTCCAGGTCCCTGACCCGGAGAGAGATGGGGGGGTCTAGAGTTTGGCAAAGGGTGGGTGACCCTGAGCACACTTGTCTGTGAGGGACGGCCTGCCTCTCAGCTCGCCTGGGCCCTGGCCACAGCGAGGCCTCTCCAGCCACCACCTAGCCCCGTCTATGGACCCTACAGGCAGGGGCGAGGCATGGGGCCCTGGGAGAGCAGGGAAAAGGGGGTCCGGGTGCGGGTCTTAGGAGAGGGACTGCTGCCTTCCTGTACACCCACCCAGCGGATTCTGTCCGTCCCAGGGGTTCTTGGCTTCCTGCCTGGGATCCCACCACCTGCCTGGCCTTGTCACCCAGCTGTGAGGGGGAGGGGAAACAGAGGACAGATCGGAGCTGGAAGCCAGGACACAGCGCTGAGACCCGACTTCCGCATGGGCTCCGTGTATCAGTGACAGTGCTCAGGCCCCTCCCTTGTAAGGGACAGAAAGAAACCTTGACCCTGGCAGGAAAGAGCCAAGTGACCCACAGACAGCAGGGAGAGTGGACATCCTGGCTGTGGGGACAGGAGCCTGGCCATTAGCGGGCTGGAGGTGGTTCTTCCTGGCTCAGAGAGCGACTTGTGGGCCCCTCTTCCCAGCTCCATGTTCATGACGACATGCTGGGAGCTCCAACTAGGCCACGGCAGGGGTGCTGACCCCCAGATCAGCAGACAGTGAGATAGGACTCTGCGAGCCTGGCCCCCATGGGAGGTTTTGGGTTCCCATCCAGAGACCTCCCTGAGTATGCCAGCTGCATGTGCCACGATCCAGGGCCGGCTGAGGCTGAGGGTGGGTCGTGGCGTCAAGATCCTGTCGGGGGTACGGCCTTTCCCACTCTCTGTCTCTCACTCGTGAAAGAAATCAGCACCATCGCCCCTCCAGAATCAGTGATAACCACCCACCAGCCCCCACTGCCGTCTGCCGTAGCTCGACCGCCTTCCCTCCCCGAGTCCTAGCTCAAGGAGAACCGGGTCTTACGTCCTGTGCTCACCTGTGTTCCTGAGGCCGGGGCTGCTGCTCAGAGCGGGACCATCTGCCAGGCAGACCCAAACAGTGACGCCACGCTGGGCGACACCAGGTACACGCACTTCTCTGGGCCTGGTTCATCTGTAAAAACAGAAGTGAGTCTTTTTTTTGACTGATTTTTGCTATAAGATACCTATACTCACTGGAGAGATAGAGAGACAGAAAGCAAGAAATCACCCCCTGGGGGCATGGTCATTCTACAATCCCTTCTCCTCCACTCTCCTCTTGCAATTTTGGGCATGCACACATATGTGCCCGGAGTGAATTTCAAGCTGCCCAGTCTGGGACTCGAACTACAGTCGACTACATGGGAGTCCAGTGCCTTAACCACCACACTACCTGCTGACCCTGGAAGTGAGTCATTTCTATCTCAAGAGTTGTAGGCATTTAGTGAAAGTGCCCTGTAAACTAGATTCTGAGCAGCATGAACCACCTCCGTCCTCACCCATAGTTCCGCTGAGCCAGCCTGACACCTCCGGCCATGCCCTTCGCCTTGAAACTCCTGTGTGTCCTCACCCCTGCCCTCCTGTCTGGCCTCCGACCCGCAGTCACCTGACTTTCTGATCCTGTCTGTGTCAAGCATGGTGAGTCGGAGCCAGCAGCTTCCACTGTGAGCCTCACCTGGGCCTTTCTTCCTCTAGCTAGTCCTCCCGGCGTGGGTACCTGGGAGCCTAACAAGGAGACGGAGGCGCAGGAAGTGAGGTAAAAG